CCTTAAGAACAGGAGCAAAAGCAACAAAACTTTTGGTGAGCACATTCGACATTTCCTAGGAAGTTTCATGTTGTGGTCCCTCAAAAGAACGTTCAAAAATTGTACAAAAGACAAAAAAGTGTGCTGTACGTGCGTAGTTGTTGTTGTTGTTTTGTTAATTAGACCAATTCATTTATTTTGACGTTGTTGTCGCCGCTGCCGTTTGGCATTACACGAGTTTTTTTTTCTTTTTTTGCTTTAGTTTTAGTTTTTTTTGTTGTTGTCGTGGGGAGTTGTTGTTGTTTTTTGTTTGAGTAAATTATAAGTATATCAACGAGAGCTTGCTTTTAGCCGTAGCTAAATCAATATATTATTTAGTTAGCCAGGGGCGAGTTGTTCAAAGCTGGGTTAAGGTAATCCAGGGTTAGTGCTGGATTTGAATTCAGATTTGAATGCTTAAAAAGTATTTCAGTTTTAATTCTTTTTGTCTACAAGTTGATGACTGGAAGCTCAAAAAATAACAGAGAAAATTATCCGAGAAAACGCTTTAGAACACACAAAAAAAGAAACCCGGGTTAAATCTATCCCCGGGTTAAGCGCTAATCGGCCTTCGAACAACTGGGCCCAGGTGTATAACTTTCATTGTAATATAGAACTTAACTATGACGTGGACTTTAGACACCCCTGGTAATCTTAAGGTAATTTTCTTTTTTTATATCTCTTTTTTTGCGTACCTTTTCACAAATACGCCACTTCTTAATCTTTAATTTTCTCAGTGCTTAGCGTTGCACCTTCAGGCTTACGAGTTTCTACGCTGCAGTTAAGTGAATTAAAGTTACAATGGAATGCAATACCTCAGCACAGTGTAAATGGCCGACTATTGGGATATGTAGTTACTTACGAAGAATATCCCTATCATTGGTATAACAAGAGACGAGTCAACACTAGCCCAGATGTCCAAATGCTGGTTTTGAGTGGCTTGAAAGCAGCACAGTCCTACAGAGTGTGGGTGGCTGGGATCACACGCACGGGAACTGGACCTCGATCATCTTTATATGACGTCACAACTGGTAAATTGACCAAATAAACGTTAAGTGACGTCAGAAAGTTCAAAACTGAATTAGTACCATAAGCGAATGGTTTCATACCGTACATGAAAATGTCTCCTATTTCCTTTGTCGTTTCACTGCAAAACTTTGAACGTTCTGACGTCATTGGCTGATTTTATAATAACATTGACTATTTTAAACTTCAAGAAACAGAGAAAAACAAATTGCGTCACCATGACGTCATTTTCATGGTCTCTACTCAAACGTTTCAAACGTCCCTATACTGCCGTGCTGCTTTAATTCTTTTTAATTTACTTTTATATTTGTTTTTTTGGCTATAGTCGTGTGACAGTCCAGCCAGCTTAGCCCGGCAGAAGCATAACGTTTGAGACAAGCCTCATAGATTATAGGTCTCGAACAATCAGCGTGCAAGAAATCTTTAAACACTATATACTACCTGACTGCAATCCACTTTACGGAGAAATACAACAGTAACGTGTATCATTCCTACTGTTTCTGAAGAATAGGCTATAATATAAACTGGTCCTTTTACAGTGTTAGCGAAATGGCAGTACGTGTGTTTGGAATCATTTAACCAGACTGAAAATAATGAACTAAGTTGAACTTGATTGAGCAACTAAATTGTTTTTACTTCTTACCGTCAATTAGGTTGCGGAGGATACACAAATCGGTCTTTTGGCGACTTAGAGATTGGCTCCAACAGAGGCTCGACGAACTATATCACATGTACCCTTGTGATTGGTAGAGGGGGCATAAAAAAGGGAGTTGCGTTTATGTGGATACAAGATCTGTTTTTGTTTTATTACAGGTACTGAGTGTGAAGTGACATTATTACCTCAGATTACAGTCGAACCTCGCTTTACGGACACCCCCTTAATACGGACACCTCGTTATTACGAACAGTTTTCCTTCTCCCTAGCCCTTATATTTTCTCTTAACTCAACCCGCTTAATATGGACACCCCGTCATTAGGAACACTTTCCATGCCCCCCCCCCACCGCAGCGTCCGAATTAACGGGGTCTGACTCACATGATTCTCCAACATTTGCTTGACTGCACAGTGTATGTTTGTCTTTGACAACCTCAAAAAGCCCAAGGGACTCACAGATCATGTGATATTGCAATACACCTCTTTGCCTTGTCTGTTTTGTAGCCCATGCAGGTCATGTGATAATACTCTTAAGAACTGTTTCTTTCAAATTTCGTCTTATCCGCGTGCATATGGACGCATAATTTATAAAAAGACAAAGGGGAAAACAAAGCATTCAAGCTTAAAAGGTCTATTATGTAGGCTCGCATACATGTCGCATGTCATCAGTGTGACGTTCAAGTGTAGAAAACTCTACTTTTGGCATCTCCACTACAACCCGTTATCGACCGTTATCCCATATCCCACCCGTTCTTAGTTTTTGAAATATTTCAGTTCGACGAGCCACGCTATTGCCCTGAAA